GCTGAATGCAAAGATGGACTATTCTCATTTTTATTTGTGTGTGTTTATGTGTCTGTTCACTTGTCTGTACTGTTTGCAATAATAATAATAACAATAGTATGAACCATAGAACAGATTTTGATGAAAGTTCAACAATTATTAATTGGAAGAACATAGTAGTTATGTTCCTATAATATCATATCATTGTTTAACTGTCAACAATGGTGTACCACAAGGCTCTGTCTTAGGACCCACCCTCTTCCCAATCTACAAAAGTAATGTAGGTCAGATCATTCACATCCTTTCATTTCTATTCTGATGACACAGTTGTTTATTGTCGAGCTAAATCGGTTGCTAAGGTTTTCCATATTTACAGTCCGCATCCGACATCATCCAGTCAGATTGTTCCGTCTCAAACTGGTGCTAAATGCTGATAAAACCAAAGGGATGTTGTTTTCAAACGGAAAGTTGGTACCAGCAGTCCTTCCTTTTATCTGATCGATGAATGTTGTTCCTATTGAGTTTGTCGATTCTTACAAATACTTAGGAATCTTGGTCGATTTGCATCTCTCGTTTAAGCCTCATGTCAAAAATTTGGTAAAGAAATTGAGATTAAAATTGGATTTCTTTTTTAGAAATAGTTCTTGTCTAAATCTGAATGCCAGGAAATGCCTTGTAGCTGCTACTTTCCTTCCCTCCATTGACTATGGTGACATTATTTACATGAATGCTCCTGCCAGCTCCTCGCAGATGTTGGACACTCTCTATCACGGTGCACTAACATTAATAACTGGGTGTAACTACCGTACCCATCACTGCACCCTGTATTCACTGGTCAACTGGTCATTAATAACTTTACGCAGACTCTCTCACTGGTACTTTTTCATCTTTAAATCACTTCTTGGTCTGCTGCCTTCATACAGCTCCTCCTACATGTCAGGTCGTCAGTGCAGCTACAGCGTGCACTCTCAAGACATCATTACCTGCAGCGTAACCTCATTGCAGACTGAACTCGGCAAAAAGGACGTTTTCTTACTCTGCTTCTGTTTCCTGGAACACCTTACAAGAAGATCTGAAGCTGTCCACTTTGACCTCTCTAAGGGATTTTAAACAATTGATAAGTTCAATGCAGACATTCCCGTTTTTAGGATTTACCTAATTTCATAAGGAAGCTTGTTTTTATTTTTGACATCACTCGATTTCTTTTCTTTTCTTTTTATATGCCTTTTATGACTCTTTATTGTTGTGTACCTCATCTCTCTGTGTTTTTTTTATTTGTTTGTTTAAAACTGCTCTCTCTTGTAAATGAGTCCTTGTTACTCAATGAGATTAACCTCTAGAAAGTGATACAGAAAGTGTAAGATTTTATTATTTTTTTTTAATGTTATGCAAAATACAGCATGGTGGTGCAGTTGGTTGAGCTGCTGCCTCGCAGCAAGAAGGTCACCAGTTCACATCTTGGCCCGGGACTCTTCTGGGTGGAGTTTGTATGTTCTATCCGTGCATGCGTGGGTTTTCTCCGGGTACTCCGGTTTCTTCCCACAGACCAAAAACATGCATGTTAGACTGATTGGTAACTCTAAATTGTCCCTAAGTGTGAGTGAGAGAGTGAATGGTTGTTTGTCTCTATGTGTCCCTGTGATGGACTGGAGACCTGTCCAGGGTGTCCCCCGCCTCTCGCACAGTGACTGCTGGATATGGGCACCAGTGATTCTTGTGACCCAAAAAGGAAGAAGCAAGTAAAGATGATGGAGGTTATGAAAAATATTAGGTGATCGTTCTTTCAACAAATGATGCTTTTTAAAAAAATAATAGAAGTTGGAATAAAATAAATGTCTGCAGGTGTGACTTTTTCACAAAGTCTTCATCGGCATTAAAAATACTTAGACTTGTTTGTAAATTCATCCTATCAGATGTAGTTATCCCAGCAGTGGCCTGCATAAAGCTGTCACAAGAACCAAAAGGATTATTTTCATGGTCACAGTTTCTAAAGGATCTTCCTGTGGACTCTGAGGACACACAAACATCCAGATGTCCACGTATAGAAGCAACAATCACCTTTTCTCCCTCACGTTCAACGAAAGCGGCGCTGTTCGCCATGTCCTGCCCGTGTTCAGGAAGCCACACCGTGTCCTCAGTAATCTCTACACACTGTAATCTTTACCCACAGGAGCGCGAGACAAAACCGCACCTCCCTGAAAACTGTAATCCAATCGACCTGGAATCATCCTCAAAACAGCAGCCGCCATTGCCGGAATCCACATCTCCTCTGAAGCGTGCACGCTGCATCTCCCTGCATCGCACGCCGTACAAATGGACTGATGAATGAATGAATTTGTAATTCATCAGCACAGAGCATCGGACCTGCTGCTGCTGCCGCTGCGTCGGAGATGCAGCGGCGTATTCTCAGAGTACCAGTGTTAAAATGGGAGGAAGCTCCTGCTCAGTTGTTAGCGTGTTTCAGTAAAATGCCTGAGTCTGAGGGTGCAACACTCAGGGAAACAGGGCGTACGTGTGATCACGGCTACAGCGCATTAATCCAGAGACAATAAAACTGCTGCAGACTTTTTATCTTATTTTATCCTCAGATAAAATGGTGTGTTTGCACGATCTATGGCTTTACATATGTCAAAAATCATCACTTTTGATGTTTACGCCTGAGAGATCAGAGACTGGCTGCTCGTTGGACTCATGATGTGAGTTGAGTTTGGTGGATTCATTTAAAATTGTTTCTGTGGTTATTGTGTGAATGCTGAGTCAGCATTTGTGTTATTGTTTTCCTGTTTATAGTTTCTAATGTTCAGGTTTTTTTTTTTTTTTTTGCAATAAAACAACTTCCCTATACTGCATCCTATTTTAATATTTCATATGTCAAAACATTCAACTGAATCAGGAATAGTTTGCCACGACTTTTACTTTCTGTAACTTTTACACTTTTCAAATTGTTTACCTTTATTTGAAATGCATTTTCTCATACACTGAATTTTTTCATACACTGAAGTATTCTTCAGCCTACATGCACTATTTTTGTTTTCTTATGCTACATTTATCACTCAGTTACTGCTCGGTCACTTTTAGTTTTTAACTTCATTTATGACCAGTTTACCTACAATTTTGCTTATTTCAGCTTTTAGCTATGATTATATTATTTTTAACTTGTTGGCATTGTTTTACTCATTTTAGGATTTAGCTACTTTTTTAGCTTTAGCTACTGTTTTGTTTATGTTAGATTTTAGGTTTGGTTCAACTAATTTGAGCAGTAATTTTGTTAAATCAGTTATTGTTTTGACAATTGTAGCTTTTAGCCATGGTTCAGCAGCTTTTAGTTTTTAGCTGCTATCTTGGTTAGTGGAAATTTACAAAAAAAAAAATGCTAATGTTAGCTTTTAGCTACTGTTCTGTCGCTTTTAGCTTTTGACTTCATTTATGCAAGTATGCAATATATTTTAGCTACAATTTTGCTATGTAGCTTTTAGTTATGGTTCTATTCATTTTAACTTGTAGATATTGATTTTGTCATTTCAAGATTTAGCTACTTTTTTAACCATTAGCTACTCTTTTGTTTATGTTAGAATTTAGGTTTTGGTTTAACTAATTTGAGCATTAGTTTTGTTAATTTTAGCTACTGTTTTGATAATCGTATCATTTAGCCATTGCTCAGCAGCTTTTAGCTTTTAGCTGCTGACTTTGTTCATTGGAACTTACCCCAAAATTTGCTAATGTTAGCTTTTAGCTACTGTTCAGTTACTTTAAATTTTTAACTTCACTTATGACAGTAATAAATTTTAGCTACAATTTTGCTTGTATGCTTTAAACAATTATATTCATTTTAACTTGTAGGCATTGTTTTGCTCATTTTAGGATTTAGTCGTTTTGATTACGTTATTTGGTTTAACTAACTTGAGCAGTATTTTTGTTAATTTAGCTGCTGTTTTGATAACCGTAGCTTTTAGCCATCGTTCAGCAGCTTTTAGCTCTTAGCTACTGTCTTGCTTAGTTGGAAGCCACAAAAATGCTATTGTTAGCTTTTAGCTACTGTTCTGTGACTTTTAGTTTTTAACTTCACTTATGCAAGTACATAATATAATTTAGCTTCAATTTTGCTTTTTTCAAATTTTAGCTGTGATTATATTATTTTTAACTTGTAGGTATTTTGCTCATTTTTATATTTAGCTACTTTATTAACCATTAGCTACTCGGTTTATGTTAGTTTTTTAGGTTTTGGTTTAACTAATATGAGCATTAGTTTTGTTAATTTTAGCTTCTGTTTTGATAATCATAACATTTATCCATGGTTCAGCAGCTTTTAGCTCTTCGCTGCTGTCTTGCTTGATTAGAATTTACAAAAAAAAAAACATGGCTAATGTTAGCTTTAAATACAATTCAATTCAGTTTATTTATAAAGCACCAATTCACAACAAAGTTGTCTCAGGACACTTTACAGAAACATTCACATATATGAAAAAGCCAATTATTAAACTTTCTGTCTAAGGCAGCCAGCTCCTGTTCTCACTTTTAGCTGTTAACTTCATTCATGACAGTAATAGATTTTAGCTACGATTTTGCTCATTTCAGCTTTTAGCTACATTTGCATTCATTTTAACTTGTAGGCATTGTTTTGCTCATTTTAAGATTTAGACACTTGTTGTTTTGTTCATGGTAGTTTTGAGGGTTTGGGTTCACCAGTATGAGCATTTGTTTCGTTAATTTTAGCTACTGTTTTGATAGCTGTAGTTTTTAGCTATGGTTCAGCAGCTTTTAGCTCTTAGCTGCTGGCTTGCTTAATGGGAATGCACCAATTTATTCTTAAATGCTAACGCTAGCTTTTAGCTGCTGTTGGGGTTTGAGCTAAGATCCTGTTTGTTTTAACGTGAACATTTTAACCAATTCAGTTTCCTGAATAAATCAGAAAATGTAAGTCACTCAACATTTTAGAAAATTCAAATATCTCTAGCTGATTTCTGTGCTCAATGCCATTTAAGCTGTTGGAGATAAATAAATAAATAAATAAATCGACTTACCGCACAGCAGCTGCATCCAGGCACAGGTCTTGTAAACGGTGGAGGTGTTGCAGAAGAAGAAGAGCGCCATGCACGCGATGCAGCTGAGGATCAGCACCATGGACAGCAGCACGAACACCGAGGCCGCCTTGAAGGCTCCGGACGGGATGGAGCTGAAGTCGGAGAAGCTGCCGGCGCAGTACAGCTCCCGGCTGCCCGCCCCCGGCTCCTTGCTCACGCAGTAGTGGAAGAGGCCGAAGTAGCCGGTCTGCGTGGTCTTCACGCTGTCTCCGATCCAGTAGGGCTGGATGAAGACCACCACGTTGACGATGGCGAAGCAGATGGTGAAGATGGCCCACAGCACCCCGATGGCACGGGAGTTGCGCATGTAATTGTCATGGTAGATCTTGGAGGCTTCTTGGGAAGGCAACATGTTTAGTCTATTTTTTTTTATAGCTGTGTTAGACACCCCTGCTCTTTACCTCTATGCCAATTAAAAAAAAAAACACACACAGCTCGACACACCTCAGTATCCAGATCTGCGCTACGATCCCCCCGCTTCTGTTAAAGACTATTAAATGTGCCTAAAAACATCAAAGGATAAACCTGAAAATGGGTATGTGACCTCATAAGACCATACATTATATATATATATATATGTGTGTATATATATATATATATGTATATAAAATGATTTAATAGGGAGTGCTACATTAAAGCCATCTAAAGCCTCTGATGAATAATTTAGCAACAGTGATTCAACATTGCTGTCAGGCTGCTTTCCTGGGGGCTACACCAGAAACGATGAAGAAAATCCATCAAAATTTCTTTTCTTCTTCTTCTTCTTCCTTTCACAGTCGTCAGGTGGAGGGGGGCTAAAGCTGTTTGTCATCCTCATCCATCAGCTCAAAGCTTCTTGTCCTTTACTCCCATCCGTGAGATGAACCACCCCGTTTTTACCTTCCGAGGCATCCGTGGGGTGCTCCTCTTCCTCCGCTCGCCTTCAATGTCCACGCAGCACGAGACGCAGAGAAGTGAAGGGTGGTGGTGGTGGTGGTGGTGGGGAAAGAAAGAAAATGGAGAGTGGCTTTCCAAACACGAGTCCGCGTGTCAAATCTCAACAGTCCTTCCGTGTGAATCCGACGTCCTCCTCCGCCTGGACTCCATCATCATCATCATCATAATGATCAGAAAGATTAAAAAAAAAAAAAATCCAGAATGTCTCCTCTTCCTCTCCGTCCTCCTCCCGTTTTTCTGCGCGCGCCCCCCCCACCTCCCCGGAAGATGCTGATGTTTTACCGATGACAGAGATGGAAGCGCGCTCACGGCGGCGGTGCGCGCGTCCGCCTTGAATTTGGAAAACTCACATTTCCTGTTTTGACCAGCGCTTTAATTAATTCATTTGTTCACAAAACTGAGAAATGAGAAATCATTTTTAAGTTCGTCTTTAACAAAAAGCCTTCTGAGAAGGAATGCACATCACCCGCCGCCTTTAATGCTTTTAAATTAAACACTTTCTAAATTAATTTAAACTTATCTTATTAATTTAAATGCTTTAAATGTAATTATACTTAAAATAAAACGTTTTATACTGAAAATATGTTCAATCTCAAGCCACACTACAAGATCTCGTGAGGTGTTCGTGCTCAAGAAATACCACGGCGACCACTCTCAGCTACTACCACAGCAGATTTGAGCTTAATATTTGTAAACTTGACTGCGTTATAATAATATTTGCGGACTATTAATTAGCGGTGGTGGCCATCTTAAATTCAAGTGACTCCAAAAGTCCATTCGTTGTAATTTCTGGGAGTTTGTGTTTCATTGATTATTTTGCTAACACATTGATGTCATCAGTTATTGCAAAATATTGGTGTCAAAATGTTGCACAACGTGTAGTCGGAGTGCGTTTTCGGGGGTGATCAGCTACTACCACATGAAGTTTTGGCTCAATGCTTGTAACATTAGACGAGATAAAGCTAATGTTTGTGTTCCTGCTGGCTGTGGCGGCCATCTTTAACGTGGTTGTGCTCTGTGAGTAAAGAGATGATGTTTTGCTAACAGATAAACCAAACGTCTCAGCAGGACAATGATAAAACGAGTCCTCAGCATCGTTCCCTTGTATCTTTTATTCATCCTGTTTTCGGACGTCGCCTGAACTGTGGAGGCCTTCGTTCTCTGAGCGCTGTTACTCAGTGGGGAGAGACTCCTGCCCCCAGGCTAACATATTCATGCAGAACTAGGCCAAGACCTGGTCTCCCAGTCTGGGAGGGTGGACGGTGCATTCGAGGCAAACACTAATGACACATTTGATCTTCCTGGGAACCACAATATAAAACAATCCTATTTTATAAAACCCGAGGAGACTAAATCCCCAACCAGAAGCGATCAAGTTCATAAAGAACTCACTTATTGTGTGAATGTTGATCGAGCATCCACACCAGAGTGATCCTGTTTCTCTTTATTGTTTGTCCCCAAAACATCAATACATCTAAATAATTAGTTATAGATGCTTTTAAAAATCAATAAAAATGTTGTTTTTCTGTCTGTTTTCTTTAACCTGCTTGCCCTTTCTGGGGCGCAGGGAGAGCTGGTGTCCATGTTCTGCGGTCACTGTCCGAGAGGAGGGGGACACCCTGGACAGGTTGCATGTCCAACACGGGACTTATTCTTTGGATTTTCCTCCAAATCTTTTGTTTACATGTGACTTCTTCTTCTTCTTCTTCTTTTTCTTTCAGCTTTTCCGTCTTCAGGGGTCTCCACAGCGAGTCATCCTCCTCCATCTCACACTCCAGCTACCTCCATGTCCTCTCTAACTGCATCCATTTATCTCCTCTGTCTTTTTTCCTGGCAGCTGAATTTCTAACATCCTTCTACTAATATACCCACTGTCCTCCTCTGGACATGTCCAAACCACTGTCCCTCCTCTGGACATGTTCACTCAGTCTGGCCTTTCTTATCTCCCAGTTGTTCAACCTCTGCTGTACCTCTGATGATCTCATTCCTAATCTTCTCCATCCTTGTCACTCCTAAGGAGAACCTCAACATCTTCATTTCTGCCACTTCCAGTTCTGTCTCCTGTCTTTTTGTCCATGTCTCTGTCTCCAGACCATACAACATCGCTGGTCTCACCACTGTCTTGTAAACTTTTCCTTTGACCTTTGCTGACACCTTTTGTCTCAAATCACTCCTGAAACTTTTCTCCATCCACTCCATCCTGCCTGGACTCTCTTCTTCACCTCTTTACCACACTCCCCATGTTCCTGGACAGTGGACCCCAAGTCCTTGAAGTCCTGCACCGTTGTGACCTCTGCTCCTTGTAGCGTCACTGCTCCACCTCCTCCCTCTCTCCCTCACACATGTTCTCTGTCTTACTGCGGCTGACTTTCATTCCTCTTCTTCAAGTGCATACTTTGCTGACATGTGACTACTTGGGCATATTTTGAACTATACTGTAATTTAATCCTTAAGTTGCCAAACATTTTCAGCTCATAGGACGTTAAGATTTAGATTTTTTAGTTGTATTTTAGATACTTTTCAAAAATATTTAACTTTATTTAGAATAAAAACTCCTCTATAGAAATAGAAAGAGATCTGTTCAGTTCCTCCAACAAACTTCTTATGGTATGGCTGTTAGCTAGTATTTTACTGCCTTCAGCTTTTAGCTACCTTTTTTTTTCTTTAGCCCTTGAGCAAATGTTTTGACACTTTTAGCTAGCATGTAGCTACTTTTAGTTATCCAAAAACGTTAAATCTGGTCCTCTGGACATTCAAAAAAACAAAACAAAACAAAAAAAATTGTAGAAACGTTTCGTCTTTCATCCAAAGGACTTCTTCAGTCCTTCAGTACCTGGATTATTGAGCATGCATCAGGATACTTTTAGTTATATTTTAGCTTTTGACTGTTGTTCAACTTTTAGATTTGTTACTTTAAATCACATTTAGCTACTTTCAGAGTTTTTCTGTATTTAGCTTTTAATGGGCTATTTAGCAAATCTTTATTTTATGTCAGCTTTTACCTAGAGTTTTAATATATTAAGCCAGGCTTTTGGTACTTCAGCAATTTAGCTTGAGTTTTAGCTTTAGCCAACACCCCCCCCCCATATATATATATATATATATATATATATATATATATATAGTGTCTGGCAAGTTTTAGAATCTAGCTTTTTACTCCTTTTAGCCTTTAGTTGCATTTTCCCCTTTTAGCTTTTAGCTATTTTTTTGTTCCTTTTAGCTTAGCTCTAGAATTGTGCCGCTCAATGTGGCTGCATGTTGGAGTAGCTGTTACTTTCATTCTGGGATATTGCTTTTGAAAACCTTATTTCCTCTTTTTTCTGGATGTATGGCTTTTTTTTTTTTCTTCTTTTTTCAGATGATTACTTCCTGTGGTATCAGATAATCTGAAGCTGGAAGGATTTTTAATGAAAACCTTTTATATTTAGACATTTGTTATGAAGCGTAACCATGACAACAAAGTGGTTTTTACAACCGGGAGCAGCTGATTGACATCTTAAGTACAGCCCCAAATCCCAAAGGAATTCTAAAGGAGGCGCCGTGGATGCATCTCCGTCTACCTGGCATAGGTGCTCGAGTGACTGACTGCTGAGATCCTTGGAGCTGGCAGGGAACGTGGCTCATGACAACAAGAAGGCCAGCGTCAAACCCCGACACCTGCAGCTGTCTGTCTGCGATGATGAGGAGCTCAACAAGCTGCTGAGAGGCGTGGCCATCGCTCAGAGGGGAGTTCTGCCCAACATTCAGGTGATCATGGGGCCCAAAAAGACCGAGAGGCCCGCTGGGTCCGGGTGGACAGATCGGCACCTGCAGCCAGTTTCTTCAGATCCACTGTGGTACGAACTGCTGCAGTTCCTTCCTGCCCACAGCCATCAGCATCTATAACAACTCTTAATGAAACCAGGATGACAGCAACATTTAATTTCCCTTTGGGATTAATAAAGCGTTTGAACTGAACAACTCACTTTCAGCTTTCAAGTCATTCAGAGCCCACCGTGCACGCTGCATTTTCACAGAAAATGTAACTGCTGCGGTTCTCTCCAGCTCGTCTTCTGGCCGTGAAGCATCCTGAGAACGCACGAGGCACATCTGGACGCTGTCTAAACAAACATGTATTTTTGCCTTCTGCTTCCAAAGCGCTCCGACTTTCTTCCTTGATCCTGAGGCCTCCTGTCATCTGTTAGCAGCAGCAGGGGACTTGACAAGCTGTGTGTGTTTTGTGTGTGCACTCCATGTGTATCCCCCGTGTGCATATTTGTGCTAAATTTGTCAGAGTGAGAGCAAAAGGTGCTGTGTAGTTGCTGAAGTGAGAAGATGTCAGAGGAAGAAAACAGACCTGTGCACCGCTCGGGGCCGCCTCTTGAGGAACAGAAGGTTTTGTTATTGAGCGAACGGAAGGGTTTCTGTGAAAACGTCTGCATGGAGACATTTGTGCCTTTTAAAGTGATTTGAGATGAAGACGATCACTGATTTGAAGACAACGTATGTGTGTTGCTTTTCAAGCACAATTTGCATCGGTGTGTTTAATTATCTTAATGTCACAAACATGACTCATGCATGTGTGGTGGTTGAAGAGCTCGTTGAGTGTAAAAGCTTTTCAAAGCATCTTTCCATTTCACTGACAGCGCGTGATGGTTATTCCCATGTGCTTGTGTTAGGCTGCCATCTGTTGCATCAAGAGCAAAACTGCAGCTGTGACAGTGAAGAGGATGGATGTGTTCTCATTTCAACTGGCAGCCATTTTTTTTTATTAATAATCTGGAGGTTTATAAATAAATAAATAAAGGTTTATAAATACATCATGCAATTTTTTTAAAAATTTTTTTTAAAGTGACGTAATTTTTTAAAACACTATGTGGCTGTAGCATTTAACAAACGTTAGTCTAAGTAAGGGCTATTTTCAGCTGTGGATTAATATTCATGAATGTCTTTACACCGTTGGGCCAGTGTTAGATAATCCACAGTTTCAGATTAAATTAAACAAAGAGTCTTTAGGAGAGCAGCTTTTTACTTTTACTGTAAAAGTTATTGTTTTTCAGTTTTTTCTTAAAACACATCCATCCATCCATCCATCCATCCATCAATCCATCCATCCATCCATCCATCCATCCATCCATCCATCCATCCATC